CTCCAGCAGGATCTGAGAATCCCTTTCCCATGGGAATTCTCACTTCATTCCCGCTTAATTGCCTTTGTGTCCGGGGCTAATTAGGGAGCCGGGAGTTAATGGATCATAAAGAGCTTCCAGGAGAGGTTTCCTCTCGGGAATGGGGCTGGGAAATGAGGGATATCACTCATGGATACACCCTGGAGAACCGGCACATAAAGATTCTGGAAAAGTCGGGATGCTCCTGGATTGGGAAATGTTGGTCCCCCCAGGATCCTCGGGATGTGGAATTCCGGTGGAAATTTTCCATCCAGCTGTTCCCACCCTGCAGATCCCAAATTCCCAGGGTCTCCCACCCCTTTATCCACCTGTTTTCCCGCTTTTTTCCTCTCCAGGACTTTCCTTCTACACCCGAGTGCTGGAAAACTGCGAGGACGAGGCCAAGTTTGACGAGGTAGGAGAAGAAGTTTTCCATCGTTTTTATCCCAGAAATCCCAGAATTCCCTGTCCAGGTGAATATCCAGGGTCCCCAATCCAGGTGAAATCCCTGTTCCCGATTTTTTTGGCATCTTCGTTGTCTGCTCCAATGTTTTCTCCCGTCAGGGACCAAACGGGATTCCTGGCTGGACTGAGGTGGGAAAATTTCTATGGAATTTTCCAAGGTGGGGGATAAATGAAAACAATAAAATTTTCCATGTTTCCTGCACTGAGTTTCAGGGAAAATTGTTTATCCCAGCTGGGATTTTGGCTCCATTTTTCTTTGTCTCAGGAGGAAAAAATTTGGGTTTTTCCCCCCTTGGAATTCCTTCTTTTTCCTTCAGGCACAGAATTCCCAGAGGAGCCCCTGGATCCCTGGAAGTGTCCAAGAAAAAGGCTTGGAGCAACCTGGGATCGGGGAATGATCCCTGGGACTCGAGTTCCCTTCCCACCCAAACCATCCCGTGAACACTTCCAGGGTTGGAATTTCCCAGATTTTTGGGAATTTTTTCCCCCCTCCTCATCAAATTCTATCTCCCACCAACCCCTCCGACGCTCCCTGTGGGATTTTTTCCCCCTCCCCATTCAGTTGGAAAACTCTATTTGGGAATGGTTGGGATTGTGTTGGATCAGGAGCTGTGTCCAGCCTGGAATTCCAGCATTTTTAGGGAAGTCAATCCCTCCTGGAGCAGCCACAGAGGATCAAACCCTTCCTGCCTGGGGGAATATCCAGGGAATTCCCGGGAATATTTGAAGTTCAACCCATTTGGATTATCCGTGATCCCGAATCCCGGAGCAGGAGGGGACAGCCAGGGAACAGGGACAGGACAAGGGGAAATGGCCTCAGGCTGGGCCAGGGAAGTCGAGGTTGGAATTTGGGAACAATTCCCCATGGAAAAGCTGCTCAGGCCTTGGCAGGAACTCCCAGGGAAGTTTGGAGTCTCCATCCCTGGAGGTTTCCAAGGAATTCCTGGATATGTGGCACTCCAGGAATTCTCCTATTCCCATTTCCCACATCTTGGCTCCGATGATCCCAGAGGGCTTTTCCAGCCTCAGTAATCCCTGGATTCTGTGGTGTCCGAGCTGAGAAAATCCGTGTCCATTCCCTCTTTTCCCTCCCCCCTCTTCCCATTAATCAGGATCCGCCTCCAGGCAGGATTTGGATTTCAAACCCCAGCGGTTTCCATTTGTTTGGTTTCGCTCCGTTTCTTTCCCAATTGTTTTTCCTTCGTTCCTTTAATAAATTCTGCAAACTCTCTGCTGGATATTCCAGAGGCTGCTGGGTATTCCAGAGGCTGCTCTAATTAATCGGGAATGTTTGTGTTCCCTGCTGCATCCCTGAAGGATTTCATCTCGGAGAAATGAAATTTCCTGGAGATCTCCCGCAGCCTGGGAGGGAAGGGAATCTCTGGGAAAAAAAAAAGGAGCCAAAAATTCCTCGGTGCTGAAATTTTCTGGGATAATTTCCGAGCAGGCCCTGAGGGATGAGCTGCTCCCCTCGATTCCAGGAAACAAAAACCATGGAATTGTGGAATTTTGGGTGGGAAGGGACCTCAAAACTCATCCCAATCCATGGACAGGGACAAATTCCTGATCCCAGAGTGCTCCAAGTCCTTTCCAGCCTGGCCTTGGACACTTCCACAGCTTTTCTGGGAATTCTGTGCCAGGGCCTTCCAAGTTTTCCATGCTTTTTTTCCCCCAGAATTTGGAAAACCTCTTGGATCAACCTGTGGTTCCAGCCACGACTTTCCCAGATTTTTTTTCCCAGATTTTTCCTTTGGCAAATGCAATCCCAGATTTTAGTGAATCCCGGGACATCGCTCCTTGGAATTGCTGCCACTTTCTCTGCCTTTCCTTGGATTTGGAGTGGATTTCCTTGGATTTAGTAGGTGTGGAGCCCCCAAAGCACATCCAGCACCTTTTGGATGGAGGTCGGACAGGGACAAGGGAATCTGGCTGGAAAAATTCCCATTTTTCTCCTCCTCTCTCTGGGAAAAAGAGCGAAGGGCTGACGGTGCAGAGCCCTGAAAGCAGGAATAGGACAATTCCTCAGGCCAGGGGGGAAATTCCCACAGAATTCCTTCCTGGAAAGGGCTGTTCAGTGGTGGAATCCCCATTCCTGAAGGGATTTCCATCCACGTGGATATGGGGACATGGATCGAGGGTGGCCTGGGCAGCGCTGGGAAATTCTTGGATTTGTTCATCTCCAAGGATTTTTCCAAGCTGAATAACAAATTGATTCCATAATCTTGGGATTGCCTGGTGATTTTATCACCGGATCCAATCCCTGGAGAGTCAAAACATTTGGAAAAAAAAACAAGGAAAAAGTAGGGAAAGGACTAAATTCCATCTCCACGTGGAGAATTTGGGATAAATCCGGAGCGAGGCCGGATCCGTTGGTGCCATTTCCCATTTATATCCCAGCGATTTTTCCTTTGCCTCCTTGGCTCTGCAGACAAATTAAAACCAGGAATAATTAGCTCTGGAATGAGGGCTGGGGAAGTGCTGAGGAGGCACCGGCTCCTTCCTGGGAATTTGCTGGATGAGCAAATTCTCTTCCCATGGTTTTCAATTCCGCTCTGCTGCTCCTGGGAGAGATCCTGGATCCCGGATCCGCTGCCTCTGGCACATTCCCAACCTGGGATGTGCCAGGAGTGGCGTGGGAAGGGGGGGATGGTGGGATCTGGGAGGTCCTGGAGCTTGGAAAAATGGGAATGCAGGGAGTTGGGCTGACCCAGAGGGATTTGCCTTGGGAAACAAAACAAAACAGCAAACAAACAAACAAAAAATAGGATTTTATGGAATCATGGAATGATTCGGGTGAGGAGGGAATTTAAGGATTGTCCAGTTCTGAGCCTGACACTTCCCAGGATCCCAGGGTGATCCAACCTGGCCTTGGACACTGCCAGGGATCCAGGGATTCTCTGGGAATTCCAGCCCAGCCAGGAATTCCTTCCCAAGATCCCACCCCGAGCTCCCCTTTCCCACTGGAAGCCATTCCCTGGCTCCTGGCCCTCCAGCCCTTTCCCAAATCCCAGCTCTCCTGGAAACCTCTGGAAAAGGCTCCCAGCATTCCCTGCATCCTTCCCTCATCCAGCTGCACATTCCCAGCTCTCCCAGCCTGGATCCATATTCCCATCCTCATCCAATGTCTGTATTTATATTTTCCATAAAATCCATAAAATAATTGGCACTGGGCACATCCTTAGCTCCATCCCTATAAAACAGCCCTGCTGCCTTTTTCCTGGGAAAAGAGGCCTCCCTCCATCCTCATTCCCTCCACTGCCACTCCCTGGAATGTTCCTGGCTCATCCCTTTCCTGCTTTTCCCAAAAAAATCCTGGATCATCCTTGTCCTTCTTTTCCTGAACGCTTCTGGTTCCTCTCCTTTTCCCAACTGATCCTGGCTCTTCCCTCTCCTCCTTTTCCCAAATCCCTCCTGGCTCTTCCCTCTGCTTTTCCCAACAAATCCCAGCTCATCCATCTCGTCTTTTTCCAGCTGATCCTGATGCATTCCTCTCTTCCTTTTCCCAAAACCTTCCTGGCTCTTCCCTCTCATTTTCCCAACTGATCCTGCCTCATCCATCTCCTCCTTTTCCAGCTGATCCTGGCTCATCCATCTCCTCCTTTTCCCAAATCCCTCCAGGCTTTTCCCTTTCCTTTTCCCAACTGATCCTGGCTCATCCATCTCCCCCTTTTCCAGCTGATCCTGACTCA